AACTACATGAACTTGAACGTTCCACTATCATCTACATTTTTTCTGACTAACAAATAGTACTTAGTTGGCTATCATCAATCCGTCGTGCAAATCTGGGAGTACTAGTAGAAAACAGATTACGCGAAATACGCAGAATCGTATGCCAGCTAGAAGATAGTGCGACAACCGTTGTTTTCGGCTATGATAACACTTTGGAGAACCCCGCGGATGCAGGAACTAGAGGGCTTACTAAGGAGCAAATCACTACGCATAGCTGGTGGAGTGGCCCACCATTTTCGCGCACCCCAGTGCAGCATTGGACCACCACCTTTTACCCCTTGAAACTTAGTGATACGCCCGCATTTGCGGAATTCGACAGTGAAGAATTTGCAAATATAAACGTCGTTAACGGAAGAGACGTGGGCATTGCAGACCTTCTTGAATGGAGCAGATACGGCTCTTTATCCATTGCAAAACGTGTAACAGCGCTAGTTTTTCGTTTCATAAAGAAGCTTCTGCGCAGCAAAGCAGAAGTTTTTAGCAAGCGAATATTTGCGCATATTCCAGAACTGAATAGTATCGAGGACTCCGCAAATCCATTGAGTGGCCGTGAAGTACGAGCAGCAAAGTTGGCCTTGATTCGCAACCATCAACATATCCACGTGACAAAAGAATACAGAAAGTCCATGGAGAATACTTTGCGACTCTATCAAGACAACAATGGCATATGGCGCTCAAAAGGGAGATTAGGTCAATCTGCAGTGAGTGATGACACAAAAAGCCCTATATTCGTTGCGCACAATACAACCTTAGCACAGAAGATCATACAAGAAGCGCACGGTTCCTACCACAGAGGTATTGAGCATACAATAGCTACTGTGCGCGAACAATTCTGGATTCCGAAACTACGGCAGCAGGTACGATCAACAGCAAAGCACTGCGTCCATTGTCGACGTTTCAATGCACTACCATATCACTATCCCAATACAACGGATCTACCCCTTCGTCGTCTCCTTCGATGTCGTCCCTTCCAGCATATAGGACTAGACTTCTTTGACCTTCCACCGTGTGATGAAAAGGGAGAGGTCTATAAGTTGTACGGCTGCATATTTACATGCACTGTGACAAGACTATTGCACATCGAAGTCGTAAGAGGCATGTCCACCAATGAATTCATCAATGCTCTCAGAAAATTTGTTGCACGTAGAGGCCTTCCGGAATCTATTGCTTGTGACAATGCGCCTACATTCCTACTAAGCGCTAACATCTTGGGGAATCGAGATGTTCAACTTAATATAGACGTCCTCCGCTCAGTGGCCAACAGAGAGATCCAGTGGAAGCACATCACACCCTATGCGCCATGGCAAGGTGGGTTTTATGAGCGCTCAATCAAATCAATAAAACACTCGATCTATAAAGCCATGCGCGGTACGGAAGGACGGTCATTTGACGATATTCAAACTATAACTTCAAAAGTTGAAGCTTGTCTCAACTCGAGACCTTTGATTTGCCAGGCATCAACACAGGAAGGACTGAGTTCTATTCGCCCCATCGACTTTTTGCAAAAAGACATTTGCTTGACTTTAACAGCTCCAGAGCGCATAGACAATGAGGACTCAGATTACCTCCCACCGGAAGAGATGCGCTCGATGCACTACAGACAACAAGTGATAGAAGCACTGCACAGTTCATGCAAAGCGACAGAAGCATTTTGGAAAGTATGGCAGACGCAATATTCAACATCTCTGCGAGAAACGCATAAAATGGTTGTCTCAAATCGCAGGCTTGGAAGAGAAATTCCCACTGTGGGAGATGTAGTGCTGGTGAGCAATCCTGTCCTTCCACGGAACGAGTGGAAAATGGCGCGGATAACTGATGTCAAACGCGGCAAGGATGGCGAAATACGCGAAGCGGAACTCCTCACAGCAACAAAGAGGAAAATACGACGTCCTGTGAATCTTCTCATCCCTCTCGAAATACAAGATAGCAGGGAGAGTGCGCAACTATCAGAAGGACAACTGGGAGATAACGGAATAGTGTCGCATCAGCAGGAACCCAGATATAATCTGCGCCCACGACGGGGAGTGCACAACGTGCAGAACTCCGCGCTTCCGGAAAATCGTTCGAACACTCAATCTCCCCGGTGGTTCCTCTTTCATATTATGGTTTTAGCCCTTCTTGGCTTCTCCAACCCCAGCGAATTACACGTAGATTGTGCAAAAAATGGGGTACTGCTGCATTCATCCACCTCTCAGGAAGTAGAGGTTTGCGCGGACAACCTTTGCAAAATCCAAGATGTGGAAAAGGAAGAACATCTTGTGCGATTTCCACCTGAAGTCGCTTTCCGTGACCATAAGGTTATCGTAAAATGGACCGCTCAACACGAGCAACTTGCTACGATGTCGACAATGTGTCAGGGGTTAAACTTCTGCTCCAATATTGACTGCTGGATATGTATTTCAGTGCTTCTAAACCCAGAATGCTGGCCTACCGGAGCAATAGTGACGATCGCATTCATGTTGTACATTTTTGTTGCCGTAACTTACCTCCTACTTTACGTCCCTATGACTATCGGGAAGCCGATTCGCTTGATACTGATAGGTGCACGGTTAACTCTTTCGTTCCTTGTGCGCCTTCTCAAACGCTGCCTCATGTTCCTGGTGCAAAAACTCAGAAGGAAGCCTTCGGCACGAGATCGCCTGGCAGCGGCACTTGCGATTTTATTTATCACTTCGTCCTGCGCTAACACTTGTCAACAGGTGAATATTCTAGAGCATCACTCCACAGTGTGTCGGGAAGTAAATGGTAAGGAAAAGTGCACCGTAGCCCTCACTGAAGTAATGAAGCTAAGTCCATATAGACAGCAAGCCTGTTTGCATCTTGTGCGAAACTCCAGCCTAGTGGCGAACATCAAACTTCGATGGCGAGGATTGTATTTGCGCTGTGAGCAAGAAAGCCTGTAATTCACACGCGCTTAACGTAATTAGTAGCAAGCGCTGTGCGACTATGGGCTCGTGTCAAGATTCCAAATGCGCAGCAATCAATAGTAGCAGCCTTATCGAAGAGCTGGAAGAAGGTAATCATCACCCGGGGCGGACAGGATGCCTCGAGTCATGTGGAGGAATAGGGTGCGAGTGCTTCTATCCAAGTTCTGACTGCCTGTTTTATCGCATATATGCTACTCCACGCAACGCCAAAGTCTACGAAGTATTCCGCTGCATGCGCTGGACAGAACATGTAAAGCTGCACGTAGTCGTAGAAAATATAGAATAAGCGTTAGGCAATCAGCAATTCGTGATATATGCGCTCCCGAACGTTCCAGTGCAGATCTCTCCTCTTCAGCTCGTCCTAACATCACTTTCGTTACCACCTACTCCAGCACTTGCAAGCGAATTCATTACAGACGGAGTTGATACTTCTAAATGGAGAGGAACTATCACTCCACCCCTACGTTGCGAAACATGGACAGCGGCCCACTCCTTCAATTGCACAGTCGACGACAAATGCAGGTGTACCGCTGCGGAAACCACGGTCAACTGTAACTGTCCGCCGCACGACATCGAAAAAGAATTTCATACGCTCGCGCTGAAAATTCCTGTCAAAACCGCTTCTTGGGAATTGAAGCGCGGCCGAAACTCTTCCCTTTCTGCGAAAATTCCAAATATGGTGTCTTCCGAGTTTATTATCACCTTCAATCAAACAGTGGATAGAGCCTTGGAAATAATTCGGGATGACATATGCAGGATAAGTGATGCTCCACTGCAAGGTTGTTACCACTGCGCAAAGGGAGCACGTGCAACAGTTCAATGTTTCTCAACAAATGAGATCATCGGAGAGGTCATGTGTGGTCAACATGCCTTCGCGATTCCATGCGCGTCAAGTGGACCAAAGTCGTACTACAGTTCCACCTCGATTCTGCGCGACAACGGTTACAGTGTACTGTAGCTTGTGGTACAAAAAGTAACACTTTTGTACTCGCTGGGATTCTTAAATATGTAAATGCTCTTCATCCCGCTATTCTATCAACACTGGAAGGTCGCAACAATGTTTAGCATGAATTTCACTGGCCCGACTTCGGACACATTGCTAACGTCATCTTCACATGGTACAAAACTCTCATAATGGCACTTGTAGCTGTTACTGTAGCCCTCCTGTTATCCTACGTATGCAAAAGCTCAATCGAAATGCGCCTTCTCTTCTTTGCTGCACGTACAGTATGGGCAATCAGCTGTCAGCTGTTTTCCGTTGCGCATGCTCTTTGTGTTGATAGCTGCGCTCACTCATCGATATGCGCATCGGCAGGCTCATAGGGAGAAGAGGGCTTAGTCATGCACAATAATCAATACTCGGTCATGTAGTTGATTAGTTTACGATTACGAGCGCCGCCAACGTAGAATGCTTAGCCATCGAAAAATCAATAACGGCACATGCACACTTGCTTTCATTGGGACCAAGACAGTGAAATTTCTCTCAGAGCCTTTTTTCAGAACATGGAAAATCTGCGCCGTCGTCTCCGTGATACCGAAGAAGAACTTGCGCATGTCCGTCGAGAACTGGACTAGAAAACACAAGAACTGCGAGATTTGCGCCGAGCACTTCCTCTACCAAATCCAGAGCTGTATGGGCTGTATCACAACATCATGGATCTTTGTTAAGAGTTCCACGCCTGCACTACCAGAACGAGCGACTTAGACAACCGCATAAAGTCTCTGCGCCATTCAGCCAATAACAACGAGAATCGCCTTCACGACGTGACACTGCTAGAACTGTCAGTAGAAAAGCTGCGCATCGAGATACTATTCATCCGATCCCAACTGCGAAACCTCTTCACCGGGCCCGCATTGCTGTGCGCTGCAAAAATCATCACGATGGACATATGGCGTACATGGATGGATCGCCCACATAGGAACGAAGAATGAAATCCTCTTTTAGAGCAACCAGAGGAGATCGAAACGGTTGCTTCAGATCAACTTTAACAACTTGATCGCAACCGCCAAGTGCTCGTGGAGATACGAACATCGATGATGGAAACCGACCAACAAGACACTCGCGAATTCCAAAACCAGATGCGCACAGCTATGGCAAAGCTGCAATCCTCTCTCGATGGAGCTTTGGTAAACTTGGAGAGACGTGAGGCGCCGCCTGCAAATCCTCGGGAAGACAACGCGATGGAGGACCTCGAAGAAGCGGAGCGTGCACCTGGTCAGGCTGATCGGACGTTCCCCCGAAATTCGCCTGTGCCGGAGGGCATGGCCATGCACGATCAGGAAAGAGGAGCTATCCAGGAAAATGTGGAATATCTCGAAGAACTCGAGGAAGAGGAAGGGGAAGTTGGCGAAGAAGAAGAGGTGCCGCAAGAAGTCGAACAAGAGCGCATCCGACAACAGAACGCCATTGCGCGCCAAGAGATAGAAGGAGATATTCGACAGCTTCAACAAGCTCGCACTAACTTTCTTCAAATAATAGATAAATTGCGCCGTCTTCCCACATGTCCGCCAAGGAGATTGGGCTACGGAGCGGTCAGAAGTGACACGGAACGATTCATGCTCTGCGCCTTCTGCAGAGCAAGCGGAAAGCATTACTCGGACTCGTGCGACGAGTTCCCCTCTGTGTATGTGCGCCGTCCTATGATTGAGGACAGGGGAAAGTGCATTGAGTGCCTCGAACTTTGTCGCAGAGACAAGTCGTGTAAAAAATACTATGAGCACTGTTATCACTGCGGGAAATACGACCACCATTCCGCCTTGTGCGAGCTACCCGACAAAAGTGATGAAATCAATTGGCAGCAATCAGCAATTGGCACATGCGAGGCGCGGACTTGCCCAAACAACGGACCGCATCAATCAGCTGGAGCGCGACCTTCAATGACTCCAGGACTAGAAGAACGCCGGCCGGGAGTATCGCGGAGGAACCGCGATTTTGCGATCTATGTAGACATTTTAGTGTTTGATATTGTTAACCTTTGATCTTTATAAACGTTCTCATTTCTTTAAGGAATGTCTTTGTTAGGGTTCCTTTGATCTGAAAAGGGCCTTATGTTTAGTTTATGCTCAAGTTCCCAAGTTTATCTGTCACACATCGCAAAGCAAATGCCAACGGGCCTTTAAAATCCGCTGGCATGCGCTATGCTGGTCTCAGCAGTACAGTATCCTTTGCGCCTTGTCGTTATATCCGAATAAATATAATCTGCGCTGACTACTCGTATCGACATCGAGCCACCGACAGACGGCAAGTCCTTTTAGTATGCATGTATGTATGTATGTATGTATGTATGTATGTANAGTCAAACTCTAGGAAAGTATGGCAAGTGTAATGATTAACACGGTGTTGTGATATCGGTCGATATTGCTTCTAAATCGATTACAAAACAAAGAAATTTCGAGGTAATAGAGAGATATTCACAACTCAACTCTTCTTTCAGTTTGAGGCGTTAAAACTATAAGTGTTGGGGAGGTACTATGTATCGCGGAGGAACCGCGATTTTGCGATCTATGTAGACATTTTAGTGTTTGATATTGTTAACCTTTGATCTTTATAAACGTTCTCATTTCTTTAAGGAATGTCTTTGTTAGGGTTCCTTTGATCTGAAAAGGGCCTTATGTTTAGTTTATGCTCAAGTTCCCAAGTTTATCTTCACACATCGCAAAGCAAATGCCAACGGGCCTTTAAAATCCGCTGGCATGCGCTATGCTGGTCTCTTCTTTCACTCTTCTACCACACGACCGTTCGTTCTTCTGAGCAGTACAGTATTCTTTGCGCCTTGTCGTTATATCCGAATAAATATAATCTGCGCTGACTACTCGTATCGACATCGAGCCACCGACAGACGGCAAGTCCTTTTAGTATGCATGTATGTATGTATGTATGTATGTATGTATGTATGTATGTA